GGGGGGGGGGGGTGAGAGCCAGTGGCACCTACAGCGTCTGGAGGAGGGTTTGTCACTAGGGGTAGGATTGGCACAGAGAAGAGAGGGGGCATATGGAGCCACGACTCCCTTTGGCACCCACCCTTTCCCCAGGCTGCCTATAGTCAGACAACAGAAAAATGTTAACTTAGAGTTTTGGGCTTGGGCCTGAAGAGGCTGAGGACCGAGGCACAGCCCCAGAAGGAGGGGGAGGGTCACAGCCTCCCTTGGCCAGGCTGTGCCTCTCATAGCAACCCCCCTCAGGTGGAGCAGATGTTCTCCCTGACGCCCGTGGACCTGGCGGGGGACATCGACTACAAGTCCCTGTGTTACATCATCACCCATGGGGATGAGAAAGAGGAGTGACTGAGGCTGCAGTGGAACTCAGGGCCGTGCTCCGGCCACCTCAATAAACACCATTTATAATGAGCCCTGCGTGGTGGCATCTCTGTGACAGATGAGGTGGGGGCAGCCAAGGGGAGCTGAGGGCCAGATGCAGGGACCGCCAGCCCTTCAGTTCTCCCCACACCGCCTTGTTTACAGATGGGGACACTGAGGCCTGAGAGGGTGGGCATCCTGCCTGAGGACTACCTCTAGAAGGAGGAATGGCAGGCCCGGGAGAGCCGGTGCTCAGCAGAGTTCTGCCAGCTCTGTCCTCCTAGGACCCCTGACCAAGCAGCCCCATTTCTGCACATGCGTGAAAACACCACCACACTCTACCTTGGAAATGCAGGCACCTGCAGGGGAAATGCTGGGAAACTGGCTGTAGGCTCAGGGTTAAGGGTCAGATGGCTATAGAGAGGGAGGGGTTCTCTGCAGAGGATTGAAGTATCCCATTCCCCACCTCACCTGCAGAAATGCCCCCATCTGGGTACTAGAGAGTAGGGGAACCTCCAGAGCACCCATGAGGGCAGGCATTTTTGTGGGGAGAGGTGCTGTTTTTATTTTTATTTGGGACTTGGCAATTTTAGTACTACATTGACACTTGGGTTTGGAAGTTATCTTACTATTCCCTATCAGTGATCACAAAAGTCTGGGTTCAGAGAACCGCCCCCCTCACTGCCCGCTCCCCTAGGGTCCCTAAGCAGGTGTCCAAGCCTCTGGCCTTCCCGGGGACCATGTCCAAAATACCCTCCCCCGGGGGAGAGGAACTTCCATGGGCTCTTGCCCCTGCCTCCTTCTCTGCCAGGAGCTCACATTCAGTCCGAGTGGTTTGCAGAGAACCACCATCCTGACCCAGGCTCCAACCTGAACTCTCCTGCCCACCCCCAACACCCTGAGGGCCCTGGATGCAAAACTGGAGTCCCCAAGGTCAGCCCAGGCCTCACACAGGAGCTGCTGGACATGCAGCTCAGGAGACGCCAGGAATCTGGTGCTCAGGACAGTGCTCAAGCTAGGGCTGGCCTGCTGTGCCAGATGGAGGTGGCCAGAATGGCATGCACAATTAGAAATAAGAAAAGCTTAATACTCCCTAGTGCAAAAAAAGGAAACACTTTTCTGTTCCTTTTTCTTAGGGCATTTCCTTTATAAAACCTGTAATGGCACATTCTTGCCGTGCCTCTTTTTGTGCAAATCCCTTTAAAAGCTCAATGAGCCTCTTGCAAGTTTTACAACCCAGGACGGCTCCCAGGACAGGGCCATCGCTTTGAAGGGAGGTCACACCCGCCTGTCTCCCAGTTCTGTGGGAGGTAGGAGCCTAACTTACTTCAAGTGGTAAAGGTGAGAGAAGTCTGTTTTTCTCTAGGTTAAGGCAATGAGCCAGCCCAGGTGAGAGGAGGGGGAGGGAAGCTGATGGTCTGTGAGGTGTGTCTTTGCAGGACCAGGTCCGGTTCTCTTGAGAATAGTAGGGTGGATGCACCTGACTTCGCCCCATCTTTGTGATGAACACCGAGCTTCGGTTTAATGCTCATTTAATAATAAATCTGTTTTCTTTCTCGTTACCTTTGTGGAGAGGTTTTCTGTTTTATCTTCCCAGCAAGGCCTAAAGCTCCCTTCCATCGGAGCCTCAGCCATGCCACAAGGGGCTGAGGGCTCAGTGGCCTCACACAGTCAGTGAATGTCCAGGCCCCTGTTTGTGGTATTTTTGGATTTTATCTTGAAACCCCTCAGCCCCTAGCCAGGGCCCCAGTCCCTGCCCTGCCCCCACCCCACCTCTGGCAGGTTGTACATTCTTTCTTTAGATGTGTTAACTCCACTGATAAAGGTAAACACAGGCTCTTAAACTGAGCCCTGGCAGGAGAAATTTGTCATCGGCATCCTCTCCCAGGAGGTGGGGGCTGTTCTAAGGTTTCTCTGAAGGGGTCAGATGGCTGTCACTGTCCCACCGCCAGCACTGCCTACCCTGAGCCCAGACTGTCTCCCACATGGGCTAAGGCCAAATTCCCCTGTTTGGGTGGGAGGGTCTGAGAGATGGCATCTCAGGTACTTTGCTGGATTTAACTCAGCAGAAATGCAGGACAGACTAGTAAATAATAGGTCACACACGCTTCCCTTCCTTTGCTGTGAGCCTTCCAGACACTTCTGGTCACTTCTGGTCAAAGGCTAGGGGTGTGGAGATGCAAAGAGGGGCACATGCTGGGTGAGGCCCTCAGAGGCATGGGAGCTGCCTGGGAGTCAGACCACTCATTGTGCACATGAGTGAGCTTGAAGGACCCCTGCTCCCTCTCTGGACTCGGTTTCCTCCTCTGTGAAGGAGAAGCTGGGCTGGATGTTGACAGCAGCTGGGTCTCACTGAGCCTCCAGATGTGGTGCTGAGTCTAACGCCTGACAGGCACTCCCCACCCCATCCGGAGTCGGCCCCTGGACACTGACTTAGCTCACAACAAGGCTGGGCTGCTGCAGCACATGGCTTCATGTTTCTGACTAAATGTGCAGATAAGGGACCTGTGGATGGACAGGGGTTGAAGTAGTAACCCCGACAATGTTCAAGTGCTTCCTGCACAGGTGGCCTGACAATTTCCTACCAGAAAGGAGGGTGAGGGCCTTTGAAGTGTGGCACAGCCAGAAGATTTCCACCCAACTGAGGTGGCAGAGCCTCTGGAGCCACAGCCTGTGTGCACCATTGAGGGCAGGTGAGGTGCTATGTGTCTTATAGTACAGGGCGAGCTAGTGAATGATGAGGGGTGTAGGAATCTCGACTCCTGGAGTCTGCCCTGCCCCCCAGGAGCCAGCACAGAGGAAAGGGACAGGAGGGGGTGGGGCTCCCCCACCCTCTCTGCACCCCAGGAGCTGGAATAGCCTCTGACCTCCTACCAGCTCTCCTGTCTCTGTGGAGAATCCCCATAGGGACAGGCTGCTGAAGTGAGAGTCACACGGCTCCGAAATAGAACCTTATCAGCCCTGCCCCACCGCTTTGCCGTCAGCAACACCTCCCCCCTCCTTCTCCCAGGATCCACCAAGCACCCTGTCCATCCCTTCTCAACTGGCACAGCATTTCAGCCTGGTGGGAACCACCCCCAGTGCCCATGCACTATTTACAGCCCCCTTGTTGTGGTCCCCCTCCCCAAAACACCTACAGGGTCAAGCAGTAGCAGCCTTGAGAGGTGGGGGCCCTGCCTTGGATCACAGGTGACTGTACTGGGGCGGTCACTGCTCCCAGAGGGATACAGAGCAGAGGCAGCAGGTCTGTGGGACAGAGGGAGCAGAGGCACGGGCCTAAGACCAAGTGACAGGCAAGGGAGGGGCCACCTCTCCTGCCTTGTTCCTTCAGGGCTGTATCCTTGTAAAATGGTAACTTTTACATTTGTATATATCTTACCACAACAAAACATTAAAAAAAAAACAACACACATGAGAGAGCACCACAGAAGACCCACTCAGCCCTTGCACTTATTTTGAAGGGTCCAACCCCAAAGGTACTATTTCTCTTAGGCCTCCTGGGAACCCTTTGCCTGTTTATATACCTACATATTTCATTTAAGAACATCTTTGGTTTCACATTCAGAAAACCCCAAGTGGAGAAAGCAAATGGGGTTGATGTTTTTGCTATGAAATAAGAAGCAAGCCGTTGCTGGCCTTGGTCCAGTGGCTGAGCGGTCCCCAGGCTGCATCGCCGGGATTCTCTCATGTTCCAGGACACTGCCACATGCTGCGTGCACAGCAGAGAGATGGTGGATGGGCAGCTGGCTGCACCCCTCCCTTTCATCACAAAAGCATACTTCTCAGAAGCCCAACCCCCCAGCCCTGCCAGACTTCTCCTTGTGCCTCTGCCAGATCTGATCTCACCACCACACATGGCTGCCACGGAGACTGGGAAAGTCAGCACTTGGACTTTCCATCCTGGCAAACAGCAAGGAGAGGGGGGGTAGGGAAGGTGTGGTGCTGGTCCCCAGCAGTGCAGACACCACTCACCTGTCCCTGCCCTTTCACAGCCCTCAGCATTCCTCCTATGTCTGTGCGCCCGGCACAGGCCTGCCAGTAGCAGAGCCCACTGGAGAGGCTGCACCGAGCCATGTCTGAGCGCTGGGCCCCAGCTTCCTGGCTGTGTGACGGTGCCACGGTGAGTCATCTGTAAAACAGAAATGATAATAGTACCTGCCTCACTGGGCTATGGTAAGATTCAATGACATGATGCACTTAAGACACTTAGCACACCGCCTGCCCTCCCCAAAGTTCTTTCATTCACTCCATTCACCACCAGGCGCTGACCTGGGGCTGTCCTGTGCGCACCGTGTTCCCACGCACCCTGCTGGGGGACTCATCCAGCTCAGCCTGGGATGCTCAGGACGTGCGACAAACGCTTTGTTAAATGTCAGAGAGGGAGCCTGTCGCCTGGAGTCCGGGGCCCACAGGTTAGTCAGGCTGCCTTGGTGTGAGTCAGCTGTTACTCACTAGCTGTGACCTCTGTGCCTCAGCTTCCTCATCGTCAAACGGTTATTTGAGGATTAGATGAATTAATGTGCCAAGAAGTTACAACAGCGGCAGGTCTACAGCAAGGGCTTTTATGTTTCACGCATCGTCTTTGTCCACTGTGTCGTGGGGACAGGACCGGGATGAGCAGCGGGCGTGGTGGGAGTGCGGGAAGCTTCCCGGAGCGGCCCTGGCTCGCTCAGGAATTCCGTGGGTTCGTGGAGGTGCGGAAGGGCCCCGGCCACGGGGCGGGGAGGGGCTGGCGCGTGGGCAGGGGTGCGCGGGCTGAGCGC